GTTTGCAAGGACGGGTCTGGTCTAGAAGAGCTTCCTTTGCAATTGCATGAGGGCTCGGCGGCTCGGTCCGAGGACAGAAGTGTTGCCCGAGTCCTTCGCAACCCGGTGGGCAGTCTCACCTTCAGCTCTCGCAGCGAAGAATTCAATGCCGCTTTTGCTGCTTGCGATGCTCAGGCCCACAGATGACGCTTTGCAGGAGCTCTTGCTCTGAACTTGTCATGTCAAGTCTTCTGTCGCTTCCCTGCCTCCCCAGGAAATGAAGCAGCAGCAAGACAAGAATCAGCCACTTGCTACTGGTAGCCAGGCGGGTAAGCGATTCACGCGCCGTATCTGCCAGATGGCATCAGCTGCATGGCACTTTCCACACTCTGCAGGAGAACTTTTGTCATTTCACGGAGCTCTTCGATGTGGAATTGGGCCAGTGTGTCAAAGGGCGATGCAGAACGCCCTTCACAAGGAGAGACCTCGGCAGCACTAGACTGATATCTGCCACGGGGCACCGCTTCGCGAAGGCCTGATGAGAATCGTTTCTGCCAGAAGATACCAGAGTCAGAGTTGAGCAACATGGATCCGGGCAAAGTGGCTGCTTGGCACAAATGTGTACCAAGGGCTTGCAACAACTTGCCACGCTCCTGTCAGTCAGGTCTCTGACCAACTGAAGCTGAATGGGCTGCCCGCAAGTTTTGATTTGGTGGTGGGCTTTCGACGACTTGTGACTTGTGTCCTGAAGCTTGCGGTGGCTTTCATGGCGTGGCCAAGGATTCCGTGCTCGAAGGAGGAAGCCAGCGAGTTCAATTCGAAGAGGCTTTCATCAGGCCCCGGCACCACAAGCCGAGGTCGCGCTCTTTGGGGGGCGGGGTGTGCCGCCAATGGTGCTGAGGGATCTCGCGAGCCAGCTGGACATTCCGGTCAACATGCTGGAGGTGCCGGTGCCTGAGCCGTCTCGCTGCCTGTGCTTGAAACTGTTCAGTGCCTGACACAGAGATGCTGCTGAGGACCGGTGTGGCAGAAGGCTCTGTGGTGGTCAGCTTCAGGTGCTTCCTCCGAAGAGACTCCGATTTTCCGTCGTATCCTGCATCTGCAGGATACTTCCTGGTTCTCAAGAGCAAGAGGCAGCAATGGATTGCATCATATTGCATCACTGGACAATCTTATATATCCCGCTTCGTATGTGGCATGTCCTTGAGCTGTCTCGGCTTTCAGTTGATTATGATGCATGAAACATTAAGGAAACACAACTCCCGTGCCACGAAAAGGTCGACCTCAACAACATCTCAAAATCAAGAGCTTCACGCACGTGGAGCACACGTGCTCCTTCAAACACCACCCCCACCAGGACATTGCATGAGGAGCCTGCAGGCGAAAGGTGTGGCATGACTGTTGACTCCAGCAGAAATCTTCCAGAACGGAACGGCGCAATTGAATGCGTACACAAGTGGAGCATCCAACTTTCGCGAAAGGCCAATCCGGAAGCGCAGCTAGTTGCCGATAGCGGGACAGGCGATCTCGTGCCCCCACTTCCAACCCCGTCCGTGACTCCCAAGACGGACGTGTTTCGACCCTGCAGCGACTCTCGTGCTCTTGGACTTGCCTCGCGTGCTGTAGGGCTTTGCCGTTGCTTACTCTGCAGGTGCCTGCAGAAGGCCATCGTACGCACGTTTCGAAGCTAGGCAGGGTTCACTCACCATCATTTACCTCGCTTGCAGGTGGTGGGACCTCCGTGGAAACTGCTTCGGCCTGAGCAAGCTGCTACACTGACTGAGACATCAAATGCACGGTCCACTGCAATGCCGATATTTGGCGTATATATCTGTGCGACATTCCTTTGCGAGGTAACGTTGGTGCCAAGCATTGTCCAAATGAGCCTCGCGACTGTACGGCAGACTCTGTCAGGGGCTGGGCGAAAGCTCTGTCAACTGATGAACGGAAGTTTTGCGCTTCTCGGGCTCCAGTTTCTCACGCAGGGACACAGCAGCATCTCCGGGCAGCATTCTCACCTACACTGCTCTGCCGGCACGTATGGTGGATCCTTGCATACAAACCTGTCCCTGCTGAGCCAGGACCCAGCTCATGGCGTGGCACCGACAGCTCCACAAAGAGCACAGCAGTTTTCCGGGCAAGAGGCCCCTCTGACGTCAGAGCTTCGTTTTCCTATACGATCTAGCTTCTTTCTGGCCTGCTTGTCTGAGTGTCAACAGATGTCAACAGGATGCCCAGATGCATGTCATGTGCTGAGGCCTTGATGCGGGCCTTCGATGGAGAAGCACTTGAAAAGGTACCGGTGAGGACAATTCACCGGGCAGTGCTGCGTAGCAGGCTCACCATTTCCTGGTGAGGACGGTGGAAACTCCCGAGATTTACAGCCTCGCGCCGGTTGGCATAGGCACCGGATCAGGGAAGTCGTCATTTCCATTACTGGAGTCTTTGGTCTTTCTTTGACTCTGCGTGCGTCAACTCCTGACTCCCACGAAGATCTAGAGTCTAGAGTCTGGGGAAATCTTCAGTCTTTGATCACCCTCCTACACGCCGGAACGGTCACGAACTGTCCTAGATCGTCTCGACACAGCCTTTCCTGACCGCTGTTTCCAGTCTTCGTGGCAAGCATCTGCAAAGACCTGGCCTCGGCATGGCCATAAACGATGGTTTCGACGGTCACCTCTTGCTTTTTGGGCAACCAGGTAGGCTCCAGAAATGATATACTTAGCCGAAAGTGCACTTAGATGAGCGGTTTGGTTCGTGACGGGCAGAAATGGATGCCGAACCCGCATGCCAACCCTGATTTTGACACTTTCTGATTTGCCACACGCGATTCAAGCACCCCCGGCTTGTACCTTTCCATGGATCTGGTCCAGTTATGAAGCACTATGATTTGGTCAACCATGCTTCTTTGCCGTGCCCGTTTAAACGATCCATATGAATGACGAAGCAATCAACATGATGAATAATAATAATATGGGAAGTCCACGGAATTTGTGTTGTCGGGCTTCACTGCACTGATTCATTTTTGGAACATTGTTGAACTTGCAGTTTGTCATTCGTGGGAACGAAGAACGCAAATTCAAGACCAGGGGCTAAACAAACCAGCTTTAACCGTCCAGTGAGCGACCTCACGATTGAAGCACAAACATGACATTGGTCCAGGAGTCTTACGTTTGAGCGTTTCTGCTACCATTTTCCTGCCGGCGCAGGCTGCTGAACAGCGCAAATTCCGCTCGTTTGAACATTCCACATGTGTATTCATCATGTTTGTCGCTTCGTGGAGAAAGAGGTGCAGCTAACAGTCTCCGGGAGTTCGTGTTTTCGGGCGTTTTTGCTTTCGGTGGAAACCGCAGCATAACAGGCCCAACCATGTGCAAATTCCCTGACTTGTATCAGTTTTCTGTACGTTCCCAGTTCTTGCTAACTGCTAACCTTGGCTATCACTTGCAAGAAAATGTTCGTTCTTCCTGAAGGAGACGTCGTGGCATGTGCTTGTGGGGAGTCTGTCTCCGGAACCAGATCGTTGCCGTGTGGCTAGTTGTGGTAGGAGGGATAGGCTGCTGCAGCTTCTTCCCATTTGCAGCTGACATAGTCGCACTGATGTGAACACGGGTGACGCAGGCGGCAGAACCAAGGTCAACGAGTACCTTCCGAGGCAGGGCCGTCATCGCTCAGGATATGTTGGATTCGGCAATTTGCGATCGGCTTTGGTCTCCTGTGCAAGTTACGCCGACTGCGAGTCGATCTTGTCCCTGCTAGCCCCTGTGAGCCGTTTAGGCATGTCCATTTCTTCGTTCAGAGCCACACTGTGACACACTCGCCAATTGCTCTATCTGCCCAGCAACAATCCAGCAACCTTCCTTTTCCGTCTGCCTCTTGCCCTCCACGGCCATTCGCCCTTTCCCACGACAAGGCTCGAGTCATACTCTGCTGTCTTCTTCCGTCCTCTTTAACTCCATGCGCATCTCGCGGTTTTCACCTTTCGCCATGGATGTCGAGGGGGGTCTACATTGCTTCGTTCTGAACGTTCTGAATGTAGCAGCCAGCCTCCACCTGTGTAGAACACCCTTTCTTGCTAGTTTTGGCGTTTGCCCGTGCATGTCTCAATCACCTAGGGACCTAGAGCACACGGAGTTTTGCAAAGAGTCTGAATCTCGAAACAAACTGAGCCGCAACAAGACAGAGCGACGTGCAGAGAGCGCCAGTGACAGACGAGTTTGAAGTCATGTCCATGCTCGACACTTTTGTTGAATTTGCCAAGGCGCAGGGCATCTGTCACGCAAGACGAAAAGTGGGATGCACCCGACAAGGCAGCCGATGTCTGTGGCAGCGGGTTTCAATGTGTACACCCCATGCTGTTGATGCATTCTGAGCTCCGAACTAAACTAAGTGGCCAGGTAGACATTGATTTTGCAGTCTTCATCACGCCTATGCACAAGAAGGCTCTCTGCTGTGGGTCAGGAAAGCACACCTTTGCAAGCAGCATGAACATGGAAGTATGGACGAAGGTTGACAAAGCCCTTTTGTGTCCTTCCAGGGCGATGGTGGAGGAGTGTCGCACATTCGGCAGGGTTGTGAAAACACATGACTTCTACCAGAGGACCCGGTCACGACAATGTGGGCTCGAGATGGCAACGAGCATGGGTACGGCGGGAACTTCTTGTTCAACACCCCGGACAGCCACCAGCAATCACGTCCATTTCTTGCTTGTGTCTTGTGGCTCGCACCAGATGCGAACTGAGCCACGATGGCGATGCTTGTGAGGAGATGATGTCATTCAAGCAATGGCGCATTCCACCAGCACCCCGGATGAGAACTTGTTCGATTGTGTTTGTCTGAACTGCAGCTGGTCGTACCTTGTCTTCAAAGGAACTGCGCATGAAAGTCTTGGAGTGTGAGACTTTCGACTGGCTTGAGGAGGTAATGAAGGAGCTGGTCTGAAACGGGCCGCGTTGTTGTCCCAGAAGTAGCTCTCGTAACACCAGGAGAAGGCAATTCGCTCTGGCAGAAACTTCTCAGCGATGCAGAATCCTTACACGGCTGAAAGACTGTCGCTTGGCCATCGATTCCTTTTCTGGTCTCTTGCGGACTGATGGCAAGTCTGTGCCATGCCAGGAAAGATCTTGATGCAACCTGTGGTATTCCGGATGATGCCTGGATCAACACATCTTGCCAGGAGACCGAGTCACGAATGATTGCATCGGCTTTACTTGCCTTCCTGGCTGGCTTGCTAGCACTCTACTGCAGTCTTTCTACTGTGCTGGTGTCACAGAGATGAAGTCGTAGATGTTGCCACATGAGACGCAATTGGAATACGAGGACAGCACAGACTGTGCACTATCTACAGTAACTGCAAAACTTTCCACTTAAAGCATGCGAAGACCTGTCTCTGCGCGTGTCCCTCGTACGTCTGCGCGAGTCGACGAGACGAGCGCGTCAAGCCTAGCCGGAGGATTTGCAGAGTCTGCGAGCGGACTACAAAGACCAGTACCGTGTCTCCTGCAATCAGGCCGGAAACGGGTAAGCAGCTGTAAGCATGTCAGCTTGTGCTACAACTCGCCCCTTGCAACATCTTACAACCTCCTGTTTCGGGCAGGAGCTTTTCGCTTCCAGCACGATGCGAAAGACGTTGTCGATTCCCCTGAATGGGAAGTGGGTTTCCGCTGAAAGTCGGAGACCGGGATCTTTGTACAAGCCGGAATGGATGCTGGACACACTGACGAGCCACTCGAAGGCTTTTATGGCTGCATGGACTTCCGAAGCATGAAGGTTCCTGCACTCGACTGCCATGGCAAGCAGCTAGCGGACATGGCTATTCATCAATAATCGACCTGTCCACGAAGAGTCAATAGAACCATATAGAACCTGCGGGCTTTGAAGCCTCGGGCTTTGGCGGTTGTGGGTTGCAGGTCACGTCCTCATCATGTATCTCGAGTCACTTGTCGCCAGCTGCCAGTTTAGGACCTGCATTTGTCTGCACATTCGACGAAGGCCTCACCGAAGGTTTGCGCTTGCATGGCACCAGCTTCGGATGTGCCGCCCAACGCGCTGACAAATCGACGCCCTCTAAACTTTGGTAAAGCTGCCCGTAGGGAGTCAGTGGAACGGAACTGTTTCCGAGTGTTCAAAAGTCCGTAAGGCTACCACTTCACTTGGGACTCCACTGCCGAGGAGAGGGAGATCGTGCTTGCCGTATACTCAGAAGCCCATTCCACGCAGGAAACCGAAAAGCTTTTCTCAAAGAACGCACCTGCTGGCGGAGATGTCCAGCTCATGGAGGCTGGTCTCACTGCGTCGTGCCTGCTGTGGTCACGCTTAACATATGCTTTGCTTGTTGTGAGGACGACGCACTATGTGCCTCACGCGGTCTGAAGACTCCGTGCCCCATCGACGTGCTATACACCGGGAAGATCCTTTACAAAGGGCAGCATTCAGGACTGCCTGGCCTTGCCTTATTGCACAAACGAGCTCTTCATCATCGTGACAGAGGAGACAACAAGAAGGTCCTGGAAAAGACTGGCGTCTCTCTCGCACACTTGCCGGCATCAAGTCCTGCCGTGCAGTGCGCTACTCAGCACGATCCCACGCACCGCCCCGTGGCTTCGGCGTCATTTGCCAGTTTGATTTCAGCTCGATAGACATTTTACAGAGGCCTTTGCTCGAGATCCACATGGATGTCGAGCGGACCGTCGAGCTCATACGCAGAGGCTTGCACGGTCACTGTAGGATGTCAGCGAGATGTGGCTTGCATCCGGTAGATAGAGGCAGACCGCGATGGTGGTCCGGAGCTCAGGCGTGATCTTATTTGCCCGGAAGAGCGACACCACAGCGGCGTTTCAAATCGGAGTGGTGAAAAAGGGGACATTCTTGTCGAAGCAGAGCTGCCGTATCGTGCTCCAGATTTGTCTGAATAGTTGTGCCGCTGTTTGCTGCATCAGTGTCTGCCCTGCCTATTGCAAGCCTAGCATGTTGCACAAACGATATCGCACGATCATGCAGCAGGATACCGAAGGAACTGTCTTCTCAGAATTTTTGCCGCACCACGTGCTGAAGGCCACTGGACGAGGACATGACGCGCGAGATTCTACAGTGCAACGCCCCAGCCTCGTGTTTCTCCGTCGGTCATGTCTTCGCTCGAGTCGATTGAGTGGCAGTTTAGGCACGTTCTTACTGGCGGCTGCACCGCGAAGCTTGTCAGAAACGCGGAGTCGTCCAGCAGCCTGCATTTCCGTTCGCGGTGGACTTGGAGGACCCAACAGTGTAAGACCAAAGCTTTCGACATTGCGACCTGTTCCTGCAGGAGGCGATGGCTGATGTTACTGCTGCTCGAGACAAAAGTATCACTTTGCAGTCGGAGTCTGGGCATCACACTGCGCACATGAGACACAAAAGTCAGCAAGGCAGTAAATAAGTCAGAAATGGCTTGGGCACAGCGTCAGCAATCAGGCCGGGCTACGTCTACACTGTCGATGTGGTAGCGGCAGTCATTCCACTTTACGTGAAGGAGCCAGTGTGCAGAGGAGCAAAGGGCCCGGACGGGTTGCCTCATCCGTTTGATGGAAGGACATGTGGGGCACGGTGAGAATTTCGACCTTTTACGTCGAAGTGGAATCCGCGCGCGTCTACTCGCAGGTTCCGGCCAAGTTGGCTTTGCAACGCGTTCCGGTTTAGTTTGTGGGCTTGGCAGGTGCTGAGCTTCAAGGAGCGTAACCAGGCACAGGTGCGGCTCAAGTTCAAGCTCAGTGACAAGGCGAAGGCGTTGCTCAAACAACCCGTCGTGGCCCCAAGCAAAGCTCAGAAAACCATGGTGACGAGTGTTGCAACCGGGTTATGGCAGCAACCAGCATTCCACGAAGAAAAAATGGTAGCATTGCATGCAGAAGCAAGAACCTTGGGCCACACAGGAGAGGCGTCCAAAGCAATTGTTCCAAGGTCCTGGGCTGGGTAGATCTGGCATCACAAAGCGGCGCCTGGTTCGGAATCTGGGGTCTGGCATCGGTCATCTTGCCACTCGGCGACGTGCCGATTGCGATGGATTGCTTTGATTGCTTTTGCTGAGGTCTACCTTCTACAGCTCGCTTCGGCTCTGCTCTCACAGCAAGGCATGGTCCAGGTTTCGGTACACAGAATGTGCACTAAGGATGTGGGGTGACCTTGGTCCGAAAGATGGCGAGATCACACTGGATGAATATCAGGATCGATGCATCGGTTCGTGTGTTTGTCCGTCTTCTGTTTGTCAAAACGTGCGCGTATCAAAATGTGCGCGTCCACCTGTCCGCTGATTTTGATGCGGGCAGGCAAAGCACGAGAAGAAGCTTGAGCTCTTAAAACGGAAGGCTGCTCGCAGGATCAAGGCCAGGAAAAGATCTGTCATTTGCTTCTCGCAACACCGCGACGTGTCAGATGGCAGCACAGCGACATAGGGAAACGGGATCTCGTGGGGCAAGCTGTAAGCTGGAGTGTGGAAGATTCGTGCTGCATGCATCTGCATGCTGTCGATTTGCATGAGCAGCGATATTCCATGCGCAGGTTCAGCTTGAGAAGGCGTCCTCGCCTCTGGTCTCTTCCTTTCTCGAAGCGTCTGCTTTCGAACGACACACTTAGGTATCAGCAATACGGCATCAGTGTGAGCCTTCAGAAGGCCTAAGCCCTAAGCCCTGCCAGCGACTTTGTCTCGAAAATCGCCACCATGCGCTTGCTCCCTGCCAGGTTTCTGACCTGCTGGTTGAACCGTCTCAATCCAAGAACTTGAGGAAGAAGGTCCTGCTGAAAGAGGTCTTGAAGGATTTTGTGCCAGTGGATAGTGGAGGGGGGCTTTTCCTCCCGTCTTTCAAGAACCTTACATGAAGGACAGCAACCCGCTGGCAGACTTGCCGGCACATGTAGCGAACTTGCTCGGAGAGGCATGCAGCTGGTTTTGCGCTTGTTGCATGCCTACATGAACTTGGACCATGGCTACTGTCGAGGTCCGCGTGCACCTTGACGACATGATTCGCTTGGACAGTATGGCACCGGATGGCGAGGATGACGAGCTGCAGCAATTGGAAGAGGAGGAGAAGCAGCACGGACCCCAGTCGCGGAAAAGAGCAGAAGTTGTAACATTGTCCAGCGCTGCTTCACCGCAAGCTTAGGACACAGATCCGATGTGGCTCCTGCCTCTCATACGCATAGCCCAGGAAGGCCGGGCTCAGCTGAGGTGATGGATGCCCTTAGGCCTTAGGCTTCGAGCTGAGCTCCTACGAACGCACCACGATCGGCACGACATTTGCCGTGGGCAGAAGCCCCAGCATGTACAAGTAACTTCGGAAGCAGAGTTTGAACGTTACTATGGTGAGGTGTACAAGGGTTGCTGGCAAGACGAAATGACAACAGAAGATGTTCAAGCTCGAACTTGTCAAGCACGCACACGCACACGCACATGCACACGGACACGCACACAGAGCAGTCGCATGCCCCAAGCAGCTCCGAAGGAGTTGCTGGTTTCCATGGTGTACTTTCGGGAGCATGTTTTCCATTGCTGCTCTTGCATGGTTTTAGAAATGGCCCTTCAAGTGCTGGAGGGGCATGTCATGCCTCGCACGGCTCGCATGGTGTCGAGGTAGCCTCAGAAATCATTTTTCGAAGGCTGCGTGAAGCCCCGTAACTTAAGCTGCCTAAACTACAAATACAAGTTCTGAGGTGACCTGTCTGTCTTACGCCTTCATTACGAGCGTCCGGCGAGTGCTGAAAAAATCATGGTGTCAGCAACCTACAGCAGCAGTCATCACACGTGGTCCTGTGGCAAAAGCGAGCTAACTGCAACTGGGGTCATGGCCCATGGCTCTTTAGACGGGTGGCCTGGGCCTGCCATCCTGCCAAGTCCTGCCAAGGGGCCGTGCCTTGGATCCACATTCAGACGTTCTGAGCAGAGCAGCAGAGAAAAGAAGCGAGCAGAAATCTGACTCTGCCAGGTGCACTGGCCATTGGCTCGGCGCTTGTACATAAACTCGGGCATCACCAATCGCTGACGTGCAATGCGACGACTATGACAAGGAAAGACATGCAGGTAGACTTGCAGATGAGGCAGTTCACAGTGTCACGCTGTTCACACAATGCCAAACTGATGGAGAGTCTTAGCTGCATGTAGCAATTCAGAGCTGCACGGGTGCGCCTCGTATCGTACCGGCCTGGCACTCAGCTTCCAAGGCTTCCTTGTAAAGCCCATTTCTATGCGTTGCATTCCGAAAATCGACCGACGGGCTTCAGGATTCGTGATGCAATGGTCCACGGCTGACCGGAAAGAGCCGGATGCCGGGCACGTAGCAGTCGAAATCTGCATCCGTCGGCCCATCCTGTTCGTGCACCGCAAGGCAGCCCAGCCGCCTGGGCCTGAACTGCACGCTGCCAGGTTGAGGCCACTGCACTCTGCGCATTTTTGGGGCTCTAGACCTCAGCCCCTAAGCCGGCCCGAGTCCTTGCAGGCAGCATGCGGGGACGGCACCGTTTGAGTTCGAGGCTCTCTCAACCACGTTTCAAGATGTTCAAGACCCAGTGAAGACGTCCAGGGGAACCCGACTAACGAATCTCCCTCGGCACCTTCAAGGCGAAAACGCCCACCATGTGTACGCCACAGAAGAGTTTGACCAACCAAGGCTCCACCAACTCGCTGAACCAGCCACTTCGCAAGAATCCGTCTTTCGAAACCGGAATCCTTCGTTCGGTGCTCAGTAACTGCTCCTGCTTGCAGTGTCGCATGCGTGCCGGCGTTTGAGGTCTGACAGAAGTGCCCGGTCTTGTCGTGACCCGGCACAAAGTTGCGTTTCGCGATCCGATTAGACAGTTTTTGATGTTCTGAGGCCGGCGGACCTGCAGATACGCCCGCCGCAGACATGGACAGAGTCGAAGTCGGCGTCGAAAGCCGTTCGCATTCTCAGAACAGTTCGTCTTTGTGTCGCAACGGAGAAAGTGACGCTGCGCGTGCATCAGCTTGCTTAATCACTGTGCCACTTTGGAGCAGGTCCAGGTGGACTCGCCATGAGCGTCGGAGGCACAATGGCCGGCGCGCTTCCACGTCGAGGCTCATTTGCTGCTTAGTTCGAGCAGAGCTTTGCCGAGCTGAGCTTCGGCTTTGACTTCCCAGGTCGAGTCGAAGCAGGACACGAAGACGGCGGCGTTCTGAACTCAATCGCAAAACTCTTGCGACGTCACCCGTTCCCTGCTTCGTCGCCTTCAGGCGACCGACGGCGAACGCGACGTTAGAGTCCTCGGATTCCTGCATGTCATGGCATGGTGGCTGGTGAGTGTTGCAAGCATTGAAAGGGAGCATCGGGTGCAGAGTCGATGTTGAGGCATAAGCAAGCGTCGACGGCACGGACGTGGAAGAAGGAGGCTTCGAATGCCGACTCACCTGAAACCCAAACTCTAGCCTGTGGTGACTGTCTCCATGCCGAACATTGCTTCAACAGCGGAGCTCAAATTCGATGTCTGCCTACCGTCTCCGCTTGCAAGGGAGCATCAAGGCTTGCAGTATCTTGCAGTTGATCCGATACTTGCCTTGTGTAGCTGTTTTGAGGTGAACACATCCTCGCAATTACTTGAGATGGGGTGTGCGATTCTGGAGGAACAGAGCACTAATGTGAGGAGCTTATCGTTCCTCAGGGTTCAGGAGCTGAGGACAAGATGCTTTAAGGGCTCAGGCTTCCAGCTTGCATTGCAAGCCCACGTCATCTCGAACACCGTACTGTCGTCCTGGTGCTTTCCATAAAGCAGTTCGCCGAACCCGCCCATGTCTTCCTGGTCGGTTCTCACGGCCAGGAGTCGTCGTCGCTCCAGCTCTTGGAGGCGGTCAGGGGCAAAACGAAGCCAATCCGCAAGCTCCTTCCGATGCCCTTCCGATGGTGTCAAAAAGCGACATCTCTGGCAGCTCAGAGGGATCGGCCACAGGATGCGGGGGAAGTTTGGGTCCCGGCGAGCGAAGACCCAGCTGCGAGGCCCCGCTTCTCCTCGGTCTCACCGTCTCCGGTGCAGCTGCCCTGCGGACTAACATCTGTCGAGGTTCGGGACTCTGTTAAACGCTTCACAAGGGACTGGGGAGACACTGGAGACCGTCGTGAGGTGTTCGATCTACTCTCGCGTGAGATCACGTCGGATTCCCCGAGACGTTGCTGCCATGTTATCGTTCAAGCTCCTTAGTTGTTGAGGCCAGACGATTACGAATTGCTACTGCGCTTGGACCGGGCCGGGTACTTCATTATAGCAGTGGTGAGCACTACTCAACACAGAGGCAGCTTTTGGCTAGGTTTGGCATTTTGATTGTTCTGGCTGATGTCTGAGGCGGTAGCACCACCTGTTGCAAGCAGCGACCGCATTGAGGCTCGTGACTCGTGCAGGGTCACTCGTGTTCAAACTACCGTGCACCTAGCCAGATTTACCCGAGATTGCCTGTCGTCGCCAGACATGCCAGACCCATGAAGGCACTTCCGAACCTTCTGCCGGCAGATTTCTCGGGTTCCGATCTTAGCGAGCGCGTGTTCTTTGGCACTTCTTTGTGCAGTGCACGTGTTGCCAAGGCGGTGTGTGCTCAATATGCTTAATGCCATTCCAGGCTCGACAATAATGATTTGTTCATGTCGTGGCGATTTCAAGTAAATCTTTGTCAGCAAGTCTATGGGATTGGACCGGCAGCTATACTGCTCGCATGCCTGAAGATGTCGGAGGAAGACAGCAACGTCACTGCGATGAGCTGCAAGCATCAGTTCCACCGCGGCTGCATTTCAAAGAGACCCTGACAAGTTTGTGCGATGCTGTGCTGCCCGAACTTTCACGGCCACGATGGCAGACTAGATTCGCTGTAACGCGCATTATGCAGGCGTGTCTTGAGCCAGGTGGTTGGCAGAGTGCCGAAAGACTTGTCCGCTCTGTGGTAAAGATGCGTGATGCTGCGGGTGCCTCACTTGTCACAAGGTCTCCTTGCCTTCTCAGAAGACTAAAACACAGAACCGTGTCTGTGCCGACATTGTTGTGCTAAGGATGCCGCATGGGCAAGGCTTGTTTCACATGTCAAGGCGGGCATGCGGAGTTGTGCGCATGTGTCTGTATGTCAATTCCCGTCAGGGGTCTTCGGGTTATCGCAGTTAGGGCTGCCTGCCTGTGCAACCCGCTCGGTTGATTTGGGCAACTTTGATTTTTCATTCTGGATGTGGACTTGGGCTTGGACAGCCTCAGCGAATAGTCTTGTAGACACGTAGACAAGGATAGACCGTACGTAGCATATCGTACGAGCTTTGTATCGGAAGGTGACCGGACCGCAGCAAGCTTCGGCGATCGAACAGTTGTTTGCTGGAGGCTCGCTCCAAAAACGCGTAGGCTAACTCTAAGCCTAATCTAACCCAAGTGTCCCTTGTCCTGTCTTCTTGACGTCCGTTTCCCAACGCGAACGGATGCAAATGGTGTCGCTCCTCTGTCTGCCATGTGCACAACATGTCACGAACAGTCAGAAACCAAAACTTGTCCTGCCACATCATCAGAGCATGCGCAATTGCACCGACGGCTTGCCAGATAGACAGGAAATACAGACGAGGACAGGCAGGCAGGTATATGAGCATAGTTTGGGAGCAAGCCGGCATTAGATGAGGTCTGCCATAACTAGAATGCACAACTGCTAGCGCGAGGGCTGACCAGCATTCACGCTCAGAACAAGCTGAGGAAGATGAAGCGGAAGAGCAAGACTATTTATTGTCGAGAAGACAGGTTATTGTAACAAGGGTTGTACCGAGACAAGTAGGAACAAGAGGAAAAGGATACTCGCACACACGGAGACATGCAATGTACGTCATGTCTTCGACAGATTTTGCCCCAATACATTCCGAGCTCCGAACACTGTGTTCAGCTTCTCCAACCTGCCTGATCATGCCAGAGAAGACCCCGGTCTTTAGACCGCATCGAGTGCGGGGGCTGCGCAAAACATGTGTCACGCCTAACTTTTCTGAAACTCAAGGTTGCTTGGGAGCGCCTTGATTCCACCGATCCCGGCTTGCGCCGACCTCGGAACTAACAGTTGAAAATGGGCAGGTTGAATTCGACGCAGTGTTTCGGGTGGAACTCCCGTCCGCAGTGAAAGTTCAATTTGCACCCTTGACCACCAGGGATCAATTCACGATGCACCGTCTGACCCTGGTTCTGGGCATGTAGATTGGTAGATTATCTCATAGGGAGCTGCATGCTGTTTGTTTGACGGCCTCTCCCGTGTCCCTCAGAGAGTATTGAATGTCTTGTCCAGGTGCAGAGCGGGAACGGTGAACTGATGGTGAGCTGGCTTGCAGGCTTGCGGGTTTGCCGTGAAGGAAAACTGGTAGCAAGGAGAGAGGATTGTTCGCAAGCAATCAACAGTCAACCAGTCAACCAGTCAGCCAATCAACCAGCCAAGCAATCAACCAATCAGGAAGTCAGCCAAGCAACCGAACAACCAATCAACCGATCAACCGATCAACCAATCAGTCAAGCACTTCGGCAACCAAAAATCAAGGAGGCAAGCAAGCAAGCAAGTGATCAACCAGATCAGCCAATCCTTCAAGGAATCAATCAAGCAATTAAATTAATCGACCAGTCAATCAACCAATCAATCAATCAATCAGTAAACCAGTCAGCCGACCAACCGACCAACCGACCAACCGACCAACCGACCAACCGACCAACCGACCGACCGACCGACCCAACCACCCAACCGACCAACCGACCAACCGACCAAGCTACCAAGCTACCAAGCTACCAAGCTACCAAGCTACCAAGCTACCAAGCTACCAAGCTACCAAGCTACCAAGCTACCAAGCAAGCAAGCGAGCAACCAATTAAGCAACCCCAAGCAACCAAGCAAGCCAGCAATCAGGATACCAAGCAACCAAGCAGCCAATCAACCAACCCACCGGTCGATCAATCGACCAATCGATCAATCGGTCAATCAACCAAGCAATCAAGCAAAACCAACCGGTCCATTCACCGGGTCCATCGGTCCATCCTGTCTGCACACGCGCCACGCACAGGGCACGATCCACGTGTAGACACCAAGTGCTTGACACATGGAGCCTTGCTGGAGGGCTGGATCCATCACCGGAAAAGGTATCACCTTCCAAGAAGCCAAAAGTTCTTGCAGCCAGGCGCGCAAAGACACGCACAGTCGGAGGGAGAAAGCAAGCATAGTACAGGTCCGCGTGCACACTCCAGCCAGCACGGCCTTGCAATCTTTCAACATTTTCCCCATGTCCGTCCCTGTGTCGGCAGGTGCTGGCAATTGATTGCAGGTTTTGTTTGGAGCTGAGCTACGCAGGCAGTGCAGGCCAAGTGAAGCTTTTGCTCTCGATGTCCGCCCATGACGCAACGACACAGCTACGGGTACTGACCAGCCTCACTGTTCAGCTGCTGTTGGAGTAGCTGGCGGGCCAGTCAGGCATCGCACTACTCAATCTCATGTCGTCTTTGTCCACTACATACTTCCGAGATACGACTCTGTGTGCTGCAGTTGAGGTCTCGAGTTCAAGCTTTTACCTGACTGTGTGTGGACGGCAGCTACCAGCCAAAGTACTATTGAGGTTTCGAGCCGTGACCAAGAAAGCAAGGATGCGACAAAAGCAGCTTTCAGAAGTAAGTTCCACGCTAATTCTGGGCACTGGCATTGCTGGATGCTTCCGTCGAAGCACCTGCACTGAAATATCTCTATGGCTCACTGTATGCTGCGACGGTGGCCGTGTCCACGAAAAGCGGCACGAATATGCAGTAATGTACATGTGAACTGGCACGTGCAGTGGCAGTGAGTGCGCCTTCGATGATGTACATACCTGATCCTGGACTGCGGTGGCTGCGAGCTCTGCAATCAGGACTTCCAGGATCTCATTCCAAAATAGTTTAACTCGCTCCTAGCCACGAGAAGAAGATCCTCAAGACAGCTTCCTTGGCTACTCCCGTGCTGACCATCTTCTTCTTCTCAACAGCTGCGAGCAAAGGTGGCTTTTGCAGGCGCTCGACGCTCGATGCGATGGTTCAGCGTCTTTTCAATGCTCAGTTCATCAGCAGATTAAACACCTCAGCGCGTCTGCAGACGCTCCCTCCGGTCTTGGCAAAGCTGACCGGAGGGTGGCGGGCGGAGTCCGAGTCCATGCCCTGAAGTGCTTTGAAGTCGAAAGTTCGTCCTGGCCGCCTGGCCGCGTTTGCTTTGGACTGCATCTTTTGTGTCAAGCTGCGAATGAGAATTTATGGAAGCCGTTTAAAACAGGCTCTGGGAGTCAGCTGGTTCTCCGTAGCCGTAGCCATGGCTGCTGGCTTGCCATCCTGGTCAGCTTGGGTGCGCTGCAGAGGGCGTTTAGGGGTTCTTCTCGTTTTGTCAGTTTTCAGAGCTGAGCGGCTGAGGCGAGGCCTCCCAGCACTCCGTCGCCTCGTCGAGGTCATCCTTCACAGGTGCCGAGACACAGAACAGACCCTCTCTCTGTCCCATCGCTTGCTTTCCCCGTGAGGCAGGTTTGACACCGGCCCCGACATCCCCCTTGCGACCGGTTAGCACCTCTGCGTCGTAAGCCGTGTCTCTCACTTTGCGCACGGCCAGAGCGTTGGTTGCCCGGGCGATTGACGCTCTTGCCAGCACTTCTCCCCTTGAGGCAGAGGCGTCGCGCCAGTCTCGCCGAGTGCAGGACCAAACCAGTCACCTGTGCTAGTTGAGTCACACACTTGGACACACTTTTGAAATCAATTGTAACGCTTCAACCGAAGCCGTGGCATGTTCGCTTGCATGTGGTGCATGACTCTTTCGGCAGGCTAGAAACACATCAGGCAGGCATGATCGTTGCCATGTAGCCTCGCGAGCTAGGAGACTGGACTTTCGGCGGATGCATTCTGTGATCGCCATACTCGCAAGGCACGCAGCACTAGCTGCGCATGTTGAGCCTCGTTGCCGTCCTGCAGGTGTGCCAGAGCCCGCCCGTTGAACGAATAAGACGGAGGTTGTCCACAGAGAACACGAGGCACACTTGGACAGGGTTTACCGTGGATTGAAAAGATGGACGCTGAGAACATTTGTCGAATGCTGGAGGAGTCCAAAGACACCGCAAAGTTCGAAAGTCCCATGGAGGCCAGCAAACTCGCAAAGCCAGCGACTCCGGTTTTGCCTTTTGCGTTCCTCAGCGTCCTTTGAGGCCCTCTGGCAACCCTGGTCCGCAGAGGTCGGCAAGCTGCTCTGCCACTTGGCTTCGGCTCATGCCCACGGCATCCCACTGGCCACGTCATCTCTTCCACAGAGGACGCGTCGCGCCGCGGCAAAGCAGCGGCGCAGCAGCAGGCGGTACTGGCGACATTGGCGATTGCGCTTCGGGACGATTGGAGCTGTGTCTGGTGCCCTCAGGACCGAGCTTCGCGCGTGCGCAGGCCAACTTCACAGTGCAAGTTGATGCCCCAAGATTTATGCTGTCGCCGCGGTACTTGTAGCTGCTACTTGTAAAGTGCAAGACAAGGTACGTGGTCACAGATGCAGATGCAGGGGATGAGGAGCACTGAATCAGGTAGAACATGGCATCCGTGCATGTCCAGCCCAAAGAGGCGGTCCCGACCCGACATTGCCTCAACTTGCAGATGCAGATTTCCAGGAGACGAAGATGAAGCTCCTCCAAGCGGAGAATCGAAGCCTTCGAGCTTTGGCAGGAAGGTGCGACGGCTTTAAGCGTGATAAGTCTGGCTGTGCTCTCGTTGGTTGCGTGGAACCGATGGACAGGTTGCAGACGCAGCTAGCTGCTGTGAAGGAGTCCCGTGATTGTTGCTGTGGGAGTGGGGTAAACTCAAACACAACATCGAGCTAAACAGTCCTACGGGCAGACATCGGCAGACGCTGATGGCTTGCTTGTGCAGGCAACCAATTACCAACAACAAAATTCCATTGCTCACCCTGATTGGGAGGGCGAGTGTCTGCGACATGCTGCATAATGCTTCAAGAGGATGACGAAGGTTTGAATTTGATGCTACCTGTATGTCCATGGCTTACTGCTTGCATGCAGAGGTACTTGGAGGCAAAGCATTGAGCAAGGCCCAGAGCCGTCTCCGACAGAGAATTCTCATGCCCTCGGTACTCATCATACGGTTATGGCCAGCGCACAGAGAGATGCGTGCGCATTCGGCATGTTGAAGCTTTTCCAGTTGATAGATGAACGTTTCCAGCGAGCCTTGACGAATGAGTCGACAAGAATAGTCTTCAAAATTGACGTTTTCCTTAGTATACACGACTCCGACAGCAGTCTGACAAGTAAACGCGACAGCATGTTGCTACAGTTGAGAACGTCTAATAGCATGGATCAAGCCACCATGTTAAGCAAGATGTTGTCTTTGTGAGTGTTGTTTGTGTCTGTGTGTGGGGTGTGTCTGCGTGCTTGTGCCTGGGCTCGCTACGCTGCAGGAGAGCACGCTTACGTACCAAACCGCAGCTGAAGAGCTGCAAGGCGAGAATTCCGACCGCAAATCGATTCCGGAAGCTTTCAGCGACACCAGGACAAGTCAATATTCCTGTCGTGAAAAGATATTGCACAGTCTGCATACCTCAGGCCTTTTGTACACGTAGTCGGTCCGGCCAAGTCGAGCTTTGCCGCAGTTGAAGAACACGTCCGCAAAGAGCGGCATGAACTCAGCCGGAAATCTCTCTTTCTCCCTCCCTCCCCCCCCTCCGCCCTCTCTCTCTCTCCCTCCCGCTCCCTCCAGGTGTGTTTAGCCTGCTTAGCCTGCTTGTCCCTGCCAGGGGAGTGGGAGGATGATGTCGAGGAGGACACGGTCGACAGAAGCATGCGCCGTGAGAATTACCATGCGAGCGTGGAGTGCATTGGGATGTTTCGGCGCCTGCAGATATTCATTACGAAGTGTGGAGATCAGCATCATGACTAGTTGGCTGTTGCAGCTCCGACCCTGTAGCTCCAGATTTTAGTTTGGAAGTTTATGCAAGAAGGGAAGGCAGAGTCTCGAGTCTCTATCCCTTCGAAACCGTGATCCCTGCAACCACTGCGGTTTCATCCGTCATGGAAGTGCATCAGCCCCACATGGTTTGCAAGTCCGACCCTGTTCAGAAGGCGTGTGATTGGTGATGCTGCCATTTGCATCTTTAAGAACAGAAAACATCTGGTTCTCGAACTGATGTCGCAGGACGTGCTGAAGCGCTTCAGGCAGGACGGCCTTTGACATAAATTAGCTGCTAGCATCGACTCCGGCATCAAGAGCCCTCGAGGCAGAAGCTTGTGCAAATGTGTTGAGACGAGGCCGTGGGCTCTCCCCGATCACGCAAGCGGGCAGCTACGTTGAGTGATGCTAAGATTCAGAGCGTGGCCACATGGCAAAAGTATCATATGAAGGTGCAGTACTATAACATGCTGGAAGTGTTGGACGTTGGACTCGACTACTCCTGAAAGGTCTGCAGATGAGTTCAGGGTTTATCCACACATCTACAGTCTCCACGAGAGATCCAATTCAATGCACGTAGGGCCAGGTCCATCAGAAGCAGCAGACTGCAACAACTTACTGCCAGAGAAACTGCGCAAGAAGCGGAGCAGCGTTCATAGACTCATTGCATGCTCTGCTGCTAGCTGAGTTGTGCCTGCTGAAATTTGCTGACACGGACTGCGATTGTGGTCAGCCTGAACGAAGCTGGGGAGACAAAGAACTGGGCACAGTCCCGCAGCACAGTCTGCGGGGGAGAAGCTGTCTCCGCCTCATGGCATATGGTGACCATCTGCTTTCAAGGTTTGCTTGCGTCGATCTTGAGCCAGCTGGGATCCAGTCCTCGCCGACCGATACAGACTCGACACAGATACGGCAGAACAAAAAACATGGGCCCAATGCGTGTTGGTAACAAGCCTAGCTAAGTTTGAAACACATCGTACAGTGCTTTAGACAGATGCCGCCTCCGAGCATGCAGCCCTCTGCTACTTGAGGCTGAATGTCCGTGCGCATGGCGCAACACGCACTCACAAGCTCTGCGCAGGTAATGGTGGCGGATGCAATCAGGTTGTCAAGCTTGCCGCAGCAATGATGAGAGTGCATCCGCAGTTGCAGCTAGGTGTGCTTTCTCTTATGATGGGGTGGACTGGCTGGAGGTGCCGGGTGCCAGCATGCTGCGATGCTTTTGAGCATCTTGCGAAGAGATTTTCCACCCTGTACGCCAGGGTGGAGAGGGGAGTGCGGGACCCTTGGCGCCGGCTTGGCGTGGTTAAGCGACTTCAGATGCTTGTTTTGCACACTGCCGTTTTCGCCAGGCATGAGCCTGGTTGGGATTTTTTCGTCGTCCCGGTGGCGAAAGGTCTCGTCCTGAGTGGAGCTGGTATGACCGGGTGTCTGCTGTGCCGCTTCCACATAGGCACGCCTTCCTTTATTCGAGTTCGGCGGTCTCTTCCCATTCGGCTAGCAGAGCCCTCAGTTCTGACAGCTTCCCTCCGGCGTGAGATTGCCTTCATGCGTCCCTCAGCTGGAGGTTCGGGTGTATGCAGAGTGGCCAAGCAGTGACTCTGCTCTGGCCACAGTCTTGCACCCGGGTGGCATCAAGGACACATCAATCCGCACACATCTGCACTGCCAGACAGACATCAGAGTTTCAGAGGAGGCAGAAGTGGAGCTGCCAGAGGCTGCAAGGAAGCTCCCCAGGCTGCTGATAGCTGCAGAGGGCCCGGCTTCCAGGTGCGTGGCAGCACGCGCAGGTCCGTCTGAGCATTGGCCGAGGTTTGTCCACCTGCGATGGCCGTGCAGAGCTGTCCGAGCCTCGTGTGAATGTCTGCCAAACTCTCTGACAACGGATCAGCCAATGGATCCGAGGTAGCGAGAGCGAAGCCGGTGTCCCGAGGTGGGGCACGAGACCGGGAAGTGCAACCTACTGTAATCGGTGCTTGAAAGAAGCAGTTCGCTGGAGGTCCACTGGGAGTGGCGTCACAAGCGCCATCAGTGCAGCAGCCGTGGCTGCCGCTGAGGCAGAGGCTCAGGCTGCGGAGCTCGAGCAACGAGCCGAGCGAGCCGCTCGGAGTCGGAGGCCCTACTATTTGTCGAATTATCTGCGGAAGAACGGGAGCACCTCACCGGCGTCCTCTGACTCGACGTGTTCAAGTGCCAATCGCATTGCCGCAAGGCTCCCTTGCGACTCGTGGATAATGGGCAAAGAAGCATGCCGCAGCAGTACTTGAGATCCTGTAGTGGAGAGTGTTGGGTGCTGGTGGGTTTGTCGGTCATTTGCGACAGGTCTGGCACTTCCACGCCGAGGGGACTGACGGCTGGTGAGATCCTGGCCCAATTATACGAGGAGGAGGTGCTGTCCGCCTTGGCAGCTGGTGAGAGCTGTGGTGACGAAGCTTTGGACTCTCTGAGCGGGATTCGGCAAAAGAATGCTGAGATCGATGCCTTGAAAAGGGAGCTTGAAAAAGAGCGCGAGGCACGGCGATCTGCTGAGGCCACTGCGAAACAAGCGGTTGGCACAGCAAATGAGCTTCAGCAAGAGTGCAGCCTGCTGCAGCAGCAGTTGAGAAGCGCAGAAAGACGGACGATGGCGCTGGAAATGCAAGGCCGCCAGTTGAGCACGGACCTCCAACGTGCAGCATGCCAGACGGTTGCTAAATCTTTGGATGAAGTTGTCTCGGAACTCGTTGCACTGGAGCTTCGCCAACTTCATGGTCTAACAGCAGGGGAGCGTGCCGGCGCCAAGCGCAAGCTGTTGCTGCGATGGCATCCCGACAAAAACTCGGGGAATGGAGGAGGCAATGATCTAGCAAAGCGGGTGGTGCAAGAATTGCAGTCACACCCAGCTTGGGTTTGAAGCAGCCTGGTGGAAGTCGCCAATGCTTGCTGCAGTGGTGTTGTGCAAGGAACCAACTGAATCATTTCAGTTTTCTGTTCTCTCTCTGTCTCTCGCTCTCTCTCTCTCTCTCTCTCCGTCTCCTCTCTCTCTCAGTCTCCCTGTCTCTCCCTCCACATACATCTTCACTCTGACCTGTCAATGTCATCTTAGTGCATGTCCTTCCTTAACCTGGGCTCGCAACTAGGGGCTGCCGGCTTCTTCCAAACATGGGAGGAGCCAGATTGGAGTGATTTCAGAGCGGGAGGGCTGGAACAACCAGCTTCGACGCGAGTGAAAACCTGAGAAGGGCCTCTGGAAACGTCGCCGGTAGTGGGCTCTGCAACTACTTTCTGTCTGTGCAAAGCCTCCGCTGTTCAGTCAAGTATCAATGCCATTGCAGTTGCTCTTCCTTTTGCTACGAGCTGCGAGCAGATGTTATGCAACCAGCATAGGCCGTCACAGTGTTGCCAAGCTGTTCGTTTAGATCTGCCAAGTAGGCCACATGACGCCAGTTTCCAGCTCCAACAGCTCCGTCAAAGCACTAAAAGGTTTTCTTGCCTGACTTGGGCTGTGGCCAGAAGGCAATGCAGAGTCCAGGGTAACCCGAGTGCGCAGCATGATTCAGAGGAGTCGTTCGACGGACACAAGCCACACGATGAGTCGGCCGTTTGACACGCTGCATGGTCTGACTCAGTTTGGAGCAGACGCAGTGCAAGGCTCCGTTTTGGGGTCATGGCGGCAAGATCTTGAGACGGACATCGCCACGGGAATCTCTGGTTTACTGAACGATGAGAGGAGCCGTGATGAAGGTCGCGAGTCAGGAGACAGCGACTCATCCTTCGAGTCTTGTGAGACTCCCATGCCCCAGCGCGGTGGCCTTCGTTACTGGGCACCTCGACTTTATGCGTGGTTGGCGCCGCGGGTGGGAAATCGAGCCAGGTGTGCCATTGCACTGACATTCGCGGTGCTGGAGGGTTCGAAGGAAAGAGCTTGGGACTTTGCTGGGCACGAGGTGAACTACTTGTCCATTCAGGTCATGGCCTGTGCTGTCTCATTGACCATTGCACTGTGCATCTCCTTCTTCATGGAGGGGCAGTGGGTCGCAAGCCTAGTCGAGACGTGAGTAAACTTATGCACCTGTCCTAAGCATTGAGTTTGTTGTGGCAACCGACTGGCCCCACCTAGCACTGGACTTGACGCAGTCTGTAGCTGTAGCCCCGAAGGAGGGAAGGGATCACACAGGTTCGACTTCTGCTATTTATAGAGACACCTGAGGGAGCCATTCGGGTGTTTTCCTTCGCTGCTCTGTGGCGGTGGAGCTTTGTGGGACTGCTATTTGCTGCGAAATCTGTTCTTCTGACCGTTACCGTGGAATCAGGCTTGCACCATGTGACACTTGGCGCATGCATTGATTCGGCAGGAGATAGCAGGATGTCTCAATGCCTCAAGTGATGCACAAACACACCAAGGATCTTCATCATGATGGATAACCTTTATGTGATTGTTGCTGCCGTCGTCAGTTTCTTCGTCTTCAGCAGACTGTATGGAAAGCTCGAGTGGCTCTCGCTCTCCATGCTCGTCCTGTCATCGCCCGCTTTCTTCATAATGCGTGAGCGGTGCGACATAAATTACTGTGGTTATTTTGATTTCAAGAAATCGGATGCGAACTTTCTGGGCATTATTAGCGCATTTTTCGGAATTTCCGTTGGCGCAGTGGCATCAGTCCTATCCGAGCGCATCTTCAAGAATCTGTCGCGCGGGCTAGAGCTGGCACACCGTGACTACACCTTGCACGGCAGATACTACATCCATCGAGTCCATCTAGACTTCGTGACTTTCGTGCTCCTTGGGGCAGTCTGGACCTGGCAGTATTACTACAACCACGGCACCTGGGGCTCCCGAACAGATGTTATGTTCGGCTCATGGAGCAAGCGGCACTTCGTGCTCCTGTTTCTGACGGTTGGACAGATGTGGTGGGCTGGGCTTGTCGTTCAACATTTTTCGACAGTCACCAAATCCCTCATCCAGACGGTCGTGGGTGTCTTGAGTGCGTGCATTGTTGACCCAATAGTGGGAA